ACGTTAACGTTAACGTTAACGTAACGTAAGTAAGTAAGTAAGTAGTAAGTAGTAGTAGTTAGTTAGTAGTAGTAGTAGTAGTAGTAGTAGAGTAGAGAGAGAGAGAGAGAGAGAGAGAGAGAGAGAGAGGGAGGTTTGATAAATTCAAGTACTTGTTTTCAAGAGATAGAAGAAAACTCCCATCTTTTGTAGGAACCCATCGCCTTCAGAGTCTCATACCAGAGCGCAAGAGCGGCTGATCGACCTGCATGGTCTCCATGTGAATGAGGCCATCCATCTGCTCAAGCATGAGCTCGCCATCATTCGAAACACAGCAAGAACAGCCTCTCGTCGACTCCAAGTCTTGATCTTGGTGGGCACAGGCCACCACACGAAGGGCTCTCGACCTGCGAGGCTCCCCATTGCAGTGGAAAGGTACTTGATCGAAGAGGAAGGGCTTGATTACAGTGAACCTCAGCCTGGCCTTCTGCGAGTTGTGGTATAGTTGTGACTGTATAATTTAAAAGCACAGAAAAAGAGATGAAAGAGAAAAGGAAGAAAAAAGAAGAAGCATACAGATGAAACCAATCGAATTCTTGTATTTTTGTACATGGTGGGTGGAAGGGCGGCCTTAAATTGTTACAGGTAGGAGAAAAATGGGACTTCTTGTGGTCAGGGTTCTCACGAGCCCTTTTTTGCAGGGTTTCCTCTCTCATTGTGAAGAGGCAAGTCTGGAGGTTCCCGAATTCTTTTTTTTCTTGTTACAATTCAATTATTCAGTTCGTATTATCTTTGCAACAAAGGAGGCAATTGATTTTTTGTTCCGTTCCATTTACGTGCTCTCTCTTCTGTCTGTGTACGTATGTGTTGTGTGTGCGTATGTGTATGTGTGAGATTTGATGCAGGAAAAGCTAAGCATAGAGAGATTTGATGCAGGGAATGCAACAGTAGAGAGAGAGAGGGAAGAGAGTATTGACGCATGGAAAGCAAACAGTAGCTCTACTCATTTCTCTACTGTGTACCCCTCTGAGAGGGGGATTTGTTGCAGGGAAAGCAGCAATGGCGTGACTCATTTCGCGACTAATTTTATCTGCCATAATATTGAAGCTTTGACTGTGTCTGAAAAATTGCTGAGCGAGAGAGAGAGAGAGAGAGATTGATTTATGCACGAAAAAATTGCTGAGCGAGAGAGAGAGAGAGATTTGGTGGTTCTTGTTTTGTTATGTTTTGTTTTTTTCCCCTGGAAAGATGTTTTTCTTCTTAGGCTAATTTGAGCTGGCGCCTTTTTGGTATAAGATTTTGTCCTAAGAAATCGAAGATTTGATTTCAAATCTAGGCTCTGCTAAGACGGGAAGGTTGATTTGAAATTGCCATTTTGGGCTTGATCTGTTAAAAAAAAAATGGCGGATTTTGTTTCAAATCCAGGCATACTTTTTGGTTTTTCTGATATTTTTGTTTCTCTTTTTTTTAAAGATTTTTGTGGGCAGATTTGAAATCGACCTTTTTTAAGGGTTGGATATGTATTCAAGTAAAACTAATTATGGCTGATTTGATTTTAAATCTAGGCTATTTAATATTTCCTCTTAGGAGACATTTTTTTTTCCTTAGATTTATTTATTTTTATTTTTATTTCCTTGGATGATTATTTTCAGAAAAAAAAAAATAGAAATTTTAGTTTTCTAAGCCTCACCATATCTAGAAAGGGCAAGGGATGGTTTCTATACAAGTTTGAGACATAATTATTTTTTTCAAATACGTAAGAGGGTATAATTAGGTTATTCTCGTTGTTGGGGTTAATCTATGGGTTGAAAAGGTTCTATCCTATAATTTGGAGTCCTAAAGTTAATTTGAGGTAGGGTTTTAGCCGAAGGAGTAAATAAAGACATCCTACTCCTGCACGAGTAGAATATGTTTTTTGAGTATCATATTGAAGACGGCTCTTGCGCGCTAGTCGAAGAGACAGTTGATGTCAATCTGGCGAGGACAGCACAGCCCCAAGATGACGACTAAGCTGAAGGCTGCAGTCTTCAGACGAGAAACAGGTATTACCTCTTTTCTGGCTGAATACAGTGATGTCTTTGGATGGTCGGTCCCCATTCCTCCTTGGTGGAATAGCACCGCTTGGTTGTACGGTCCAATGCCAAGCCCGGTTAAGCAGGAATTGAGGAAAACGCATCCGGAGCTCTTTTCGGTTAAAAAATGCGGGATGGAGGTATCAAAATCAACCACTTAGCCACCCATACTTTCTATACTTCCCCCCCCCTTACAGCATGGAATTTTTATCCTCACTCAACTATCCGGCTGTACAATTTTGATCACCGTTTGATTTTAGATCCGATATCTCACAAGTATTTTATTTTTAGTTTTTATATACAAATTGTATGAATATGAAATTTGGTACTTGACATCTTCTCATTGGGGCACATCTAACAAAAATATTAAAAATAATTTTTCGATAAACTATAATGACCAAAATACTTGGCGAAGTTTCAGGGGTATTTTCGTTATTTTATTTTATTGAAAATAAATTTTTTTATGTTTTTTGTTAATGCGAGTTTAATAAAGAAATGGATGTCCAAAATTTGATGTCAAAATAGTTTATAGAAAATAAAAATAAAAATAAAATAGCATAGAGATGTGATATCGTGATTGGGACAATCTTAGCCCTCCATTTAAAATGGACGGTTCGATAAAAGGGAGGATAGAACGGGGAAGCATAAGAAGCTTGTTCGTTATACAAACCAAGACAAATAACCACCCCAAGGAAAATTGAAACTACCCTAAATCCTACTTCTTTTTGGTTTTTCTACTGTTTGTTTTTATTAACAAAAGACGAGCAAAAATATATTATTTCTAAGTGAAATTTATAGAAATATATTTTATTTATAAATTTTTAACAACTTACCCATTTTCAATTATTGGCTAGTTATTTGTATTTCAATGAGATTTTTGGAATTATCAAAGATGGATAAGTAAAATATGGAAAATATAGAATAAAACCATTTATCTATGGTACAAGGTGAGCATTGGATGTGGAATTGGGTAGCTGCAATTATTCCATTGAATAAGTTAAAACTTCAAAAAAAAAAAATCGCGAACTTTGTAACACATCCAAGCTATCAAACTTCACATCGGATGATCGTAAATAAATGTGATTATTTTGTATAATGGTAAATGGTCTCATTGTATACAATCCCTAAATAAAAATAATTTATTTTGATAATTTTTTAATTTTATTTGACAAAAGCAAATGAAGCCACCCATAGTTGTTGGTCTCTAAAATAAAAAAAAAAGGCATAGCTAATGGAGGGTATTGCCATGCAAAAGGTTAATATAATAGAATGAATATTGCCATTTAAGAGTGAATATATATAAAACAAGAAGAATAAGAGTGGGCAATAAGCTGTTGGAAAGAAAAAGAGATTTAATAGTTCAATAGACAAATCACTTGCACTTGTAACGTCATGTTCGCTTTGAGTCCAATTTTCGGTCTCTCTCTCTCTCTCTAGACCCCTCTTTCTCTCTCTAAAGACCCAACATATGACCTGTTGGCCTCTCTGTACACGTCACCATCCAACATTCTGAGGGACTAAGAGTATAACGTGGCAAAAATTGGAGTGTTATGGTTGACCATATGACCAAATTACCCTCACTATTATCCTAATGACAGGAAGGTGGTAATCCAACTTGATAAACCACTAATTTCTTTGTTTATGTCTGTGTTTTGTCCTTGCTCTCCTTGTCTCTTCGTTGGCTATACTATTGAGTGCGGTTTGTATAGAGCCGAGGCTCTAAACAATCGAAGTAAATCCGCACCTTCAAGTAGCATCGACGAATTTGGTTTCAATATGCAAATATTTGTGAAAGCTTTAAAATATATTTTTATTTTTAATTATAAAATTTAAAGCTTAAAAAATAGTGTAGATCGAGTAGATCTATGAAAACTTAAAAATCTTGAAAATTGACGGTAAAAAAATGCGCTAAAAGATGCACTATTTCTAAAATTTGAAATCTATTTTTTTCTTGTGTCCATGCATCTTGATGTCAAGATGATCAATTTGAGAATATTTGAGCATCAGACAACCTCTTCTAGTGAAATTTTTGAAGTAGGTTCTAATTTGATTGTTTAGGGCATTGGCTCTATATAAATTTCTTCGTGTCAATCTCTTTTTGTTGGAGTATTTTATTTTGTAGGGTTTGTATTTTATAAGATCATTTCTTTTAATATAAAGCGGTCACAATTCACATTAGTCCCTCTGTCGTCGAATTAGATAGTTTCGGGGTTTATCATAATATTTAACAAATTTTTATGTAGCTTTGAGGCTGTTAATGGCATACTTTGAGCCACTCGATTTCAAATCTGATTGCGAGAGTAAAAGTAACTTTCAAGTATTAAAGGTAAGTATTCTCTTCATATGTTTTATTATGTTTTTCAATATACATAATACATCGAAGCGCTAATATACATACTCAGAAATTTGCATGGTTTAAAATATTATACGTCTTTTAAAAAATAGAATATTTTAGAAATAATTGATTTTGAGTTCTTAAAAGCCTTAATATACAATCCACTAAATAGATATGGCATAAAAAGTGACAAGCTAATATTATCTTATATTATGATATATGGAAGTCACAATTACTTAGTTGTTAAATATAAAATTTGACAGCCAGCTTGAGGTGCGTGATAAAAATAAACGATCTTATTGTATATACTTTTTCAAAGTATATTTAGGATGTTGAGTCCAATCAATGTCACACTTCAAGCCCCTAGATTTCATGTCCAATGGCCATGATCGATTTCAACTGCCAAATGTAAATTCTCATTGTATCGTTTTCATGTGTATTGGAATAAATGAGATATTTGATTTTATTTTGACCATATTCTTTTATTAATCAATCGTAGAATTACAAAGCTCAGATCATAACAACACGGTTACATCATCAGAAATTACAAAATCAGGGAGAGAAACACCCTTTTTTTGCTAACACGTCCGCTATTTCATTTGCTTCCTTGTATACATAAAATGAAAGTCCCAATAAGGCCACTTAATCGATAATTTGTAACAAAAACTTCCTCATTTGCCTTGGAATCTTTTTCTCCTTCTTACACCACCTAATGGTATTTAAAAATCCCACTCCACTATAAATAAAGAGCCCATCTGCTTATCTTTTATAATCTTCAAACCTTATAGCGACCAAGTTATTTCAGCCGCATTTGTAGTCATATTCCCCGTAAGGACCTGCATGTACAAAAAATAATATTTTCATTCCAATCTCTAACTACCCCTCGATTCCCGCCACATCTGAACTATCGATTAAACTCTCATTAAAATTCAACTTAAAACATCCTTGCAACGGAGGAATGAATAAGATCCACATGTATAAAATCCGGGTTTAAGTGGCATAAATTTAGTGCGGCTTGAGTATATTATTATTCAAGACCAATATTGCCTAAGGGCCATAACATTAGCAGTTCTTTTTTTAAAAAAAAAAAATTGTCTAGGGGTCATTCCCTTAAGCACCCAGTTTCTATGAGGCCAAGCCTGCCTATGTAGAAATACGGGCCTATTAATAAATCTATTTTTGTGATGGATTTTTGGATTTAATTTTTAAGGACATGTATTATCTAATATGGAGATCATGAATATGAAAAAATAAGTAAATTTTAAGAACTAGAAATAATAATTCTACTAAAAAAACATTTGGACCATTAGTTTCTATTGTTTTTAGATGGAACACCTACTTGCCTCCATCTTTAAGATGGATGCTTTACATTTTTTGGACTGCATATATAGTCATGCGGTCGAGCCCGCATGAAACAACTTTCCTTCCCTTAACCATGGTCGGAATAGCCGAAATACTGCATGCTTTAGAATTGAGTGTGGTTTGTATAGAGCATAGGCTCTAAACAATCAAATTAGAGCGTACCTTTAAATAGTATCAAGAAATATGGTTTCAACAATGGAAATCTTTGTGATAGCCTTAAAATATATTTTCATCTTTATTTATAAAGTTTAAAGCTTGAAAAATGGTGTAGATAGACAAATCTACGAAAACTTGAAAATCTTGAAAATTGACGGTCAAAAATGCATTACAAAATACATTATTTTCAAAACTTGAAATCAATTTTCTTTCTCATGTCCATGCATCTTGATGTTGAGATGATCAATTTGAGGAATTTTGGGCATCAAAATAATCTCCTCTAATGAAATTTTTGAGGGAGGCTCGAATGTGATTGTTTAGAGCCTCGGCTCCATATAAACTTTTCCCTTCATAATTTTACAGACGGAATAGCCGAAATACTGCATTTTTAGAATTTTACCGAAATTTCAGCTGGACGGCGAAATCACCGAAAATTATACAACCACTAGATTTGAGTTGCAATTGCATTACCAGTTGGATTTCTTTGACATTACGGTATAGTTAGGGAGTATTATAGTCATTTCGTCTGGCCTGATCATTCTTGGAATAAAAAATAATTATTAGTAATTAAACACCACAAAGGAGAAAAATAGTGAAAAAGAACACGATGGTCGAGCTTTAAACAGTTGAGACTTGAGACTGTAGACAGAGAGAGAGAGAGGTTTTTGCAGTCTAGAGAGAGAGGGGAGAACAGAAGCTTTGGCACCCTGAGTGTGAGAGAGAGACAGAGATGGAGGTTGGATTTCTGGGCCTAGGTATAATGGGGAAGGCCATGTCCCTTAATCTCATCAAAAGTGGTTTCAAAGTGACTGTCTGGAATAGAACTCTTTCTAAGGTACTACTGTGTTCTTTGTTACCACTCGCTAATTTTTAATGGGTTTTTTTTCTTTTTTAAGATGGGTTTTTCTTCTTTTTGTTCAAGCCAAATAAAAATGGATTTTCCGAAGCGTGCATTTTTTTGCTTCATTTCTGCATGAATTATATGTTTGAATTTCTTTATATTCGTCTTCCTAGTGGATCTATTCTCCTGTTTAGAATTATTATGCTTCTTTCATTATTCCTGTATGCATGGTTTCCTTTTCTTCTTTTCTTGAAATGAAATTGGAAGCCTATGCAACATACCGTTTGTTATGATTTTTTATTTTTTTATTTTTCATATTTGATCATTTCACATGAATTTAATTCCATAATGGGATCACTATTATTGCTTACAATTGTCAACTCTTCAAAAGACAACACTGAATTAGTGACTTTTCATCCATTTGTCATCTTCCAATACTTTTGTGAATGTGTTGTTAGCATTGATTACTTGCTATTCTTTTTTGTTGTTTGCATATTTCTCTTTGAAACTTTTGCTACCCTCAAAGATGCATTGCATAAGTGTTCACTAAAAATGGTCGTAAGTCGAAAGTAAATAAGTTAAATGCATACTTCATTAGGTTGTGGTGATAATTAAGAATTGATGATAGCTTGAGCTGAAGTTAGTTGAAGACGAACAATATATTATCCAAAATAAGCACCAAATTATTCCTTTTTTTTCTCCCTTAATTTTTATTTCAATCAGCAGGTTCCAAAATACTGCTGTAATAGTAAAATTATTGTCAGTAAAAGGTTCGGACAATTGATCATGAAGTGCTAAACAATGTATTTGACTGGAGTTGCCAACTATTAGGGTTTATTAAGCTCTTTCCTAGGTCAGTTAGGTGTGATCATTTGTTTGAAGAGTTCACGTCTTAGCTTGCTTAGTGGCTTGTTCCAGTTAGTTGGTTGCATCAAACAGGTGTACCCATGGTTTAACTCATTTTCTTGTAGATACATTAGAGAATTTTTGACATCTTTGGCTCAATCAGTTGTGAGTTATGTAAACATAGTTTTTGCAATAAGTAGAAGATTCATCATCAAGAAATCCCTTTGTATTTCCATGCATTAGGATGGGAAGGCCAATGATTCTCAGAGATTCACTAGTTCGATGTTCTATTCTCTAGGAAGCCCTTGCGAGTGGCATGTAACTTAAAGATCTGTTAAAGCTGGTGGAGGGGCAATTATACAAGAAAGTCCATTTCTCATTTTTCTATTAAGCTATAAAGAATTTGACTCAGATATGTGTGTAGCATCCAACATGGTTACAATTGTTAGAAATACCCTCCCACAAATTTGGCCTTTTAAGTCACAAAGGTCAATAGAGGGGGTGGCTTTCTATGTGAGATTAAATGTCTCTAGAGTCACTTTTCAACAAAGCTGTCAGATATGTGTTTGTGTCCATGGTGTGTCTCATGTGCCAAAAACCTTGGACACGCGTGTCCAAGTTATATAGCTATTGAGGTGTAGTGTGTGAATTGGATAGGTCCTAAAGGGAAAATTGATCTTCAAGTATTCAAATTTTGTTTAAAATTGAAGTTTATGACTCAGGCCTCTTTGAATCTGACATTGGCACATCCTTAGTTTTGGTTTCTGAGAAGTTTTGTTAAAGGGCAAGTTCTATTGCTGCACAAAAATAAGTTTTTGATTTGAACAAGGTCACAACTTTGCACCTGGATGGTTACTCTATGACATTCTTCCAGGTTCATTGTGATATTGTAAGGGATGACTTGATTCTTTGGAGTTCTTTTATGATTTTTCACTTCAGAGGCCAACCGTCAAATGCCACGTCTATCTTCCTAATACATTACCATTTGAATTCATACCCATTGTCCTAGGGGCAGTCATTGTTTCTTTGGGATAAAGGCATGTTTGTTGGAGTGAGGGAATTCACAGGTTGCATTGTTTCTCATGCAAAGGTGGTGCCAACAAAGTTGAGATATTGCTTTGGTTGGCTTTGTTCAATGGACTTGAGGCACGGAGGTAGGTTAGGGATATATTCGTTGATAGATAGGGGAAATGTCTGCACTTATCTGGATCAGGATTGTGGGCTACCTGCTTGGTAGGATGGAATTTGATCATCGACTAACAATTTTTTAATCGTCTATCCCTGATTTTTTTCATGATCATCTTTGATACTTGAGTCTCCTCATTGGAAGGCCAGTAAAAAAAGAGATTAACTGAAGATTTTAGGTTGCACCCAGGCGTTGCATTGTCTTGCTTGTTTATCACCACTAACCCTTTGGTTTTCTGCATGCCTTCACCCTTTAGGTGGGAAACTTACGAAAATTATAGAGGGTGCTGTAAGGAGACAGACCTTATGAAAGACATGGGCATTGAATTTCCCCTCTCTTTGGAAATGCTTTATAACAACTGCAGATCAATGTATAATAATTTCACATAGATGCTTTTTACTTTGATCTTCTTTTCTACTGTTAGACACTGCATATAGTTTATTGTCATTAGAATTCATCGTGTTGAAGCACCTTCTAATGTACATGTGGCTATGTGCGCGCAAACACTTTGTGCAACATCCAGTGCATGCTTGATCAAGTTGGAATAATAATCACCCTTCTGGGGTTGAGGAATGAATGTGTTTACCATTTCAGCTTGTTTTCTTTCAACATATTATATTGGTATAATAGTTTTTCAATTGAAAAAAACAAGGGAGAGAGAGAGAAAGAGAGTAAATTCATTAGGATAATATTTAATGAAAGCATCGATTGCATATTTACTAGGCAAATTACAAATTATGAGGTGTTATATGTCTTCAGATGATCTGTATAAGTCATCATGTTTTCAAGTTTTTTTTTTTAGTAGTATTACTTTGTTCGATGAAATTTTTGCAGTTTTGGTTCTAATTCTTTTTGGCTCCTTGCAGTGTGAAGAGCTTGCAAAGCTTGGTGCCTCAGTTGGAGAAACCCCAGCAGCCGTTGTAGAAAAGTGTAAATATACCATAGCAATGTTGTCAGATCCTTCTGCTGCACTTTCGGTTAGTACATGATTTTTCTTTCCCTTCGTTTTTTTTAATATTTAAATTAAGAATATACTCCGTGGCTTCTAAGTCCTCATCTAGACCCTTTCATTTTGGTAAATATTTGTAGGTCATTTTTGACAAAGGTGGTGTTCTTGAGCAAATATGTCCTGGAAAAGGTTATATTGACATGTCAACGGTGGATGCTTCTACCACATCAAAGATCAATGAGGTTTTATGCTGCCTTTTTAAAATTGATGCAATTTAGTGCTTCTTAGATCTGGCAGCTTTAAGTTTGAATTTTGTTCCTTGGATGATAAAATAAGCAGTCTAACACCAACAGCTTTGTAGATATCAATTTATTGAAGGTTCAGAACTTCAGATAACCATGACAGCCAGTATTTAAAGTGATTTTCTATTTTTGATGTGCCATGATATAACAAAGTATGAAAGTCCAAGTGCAAATTAGTTTAGTCTTGGCTAACAAGAAAAAAAAAAAAAGGAAAATGATGAAAATCTCCAAGGCTCGTAGATCTAGAACAAAACCTGCTTTTGACACAATTCAAATAGAGACAAATGGGTTGTCGTGGGTGTAGTCAAAATAGGACATACACTAATAGTCGTTTTTTCTGAATTGATTTTATAATAATATATGAAACCAATGAAGAAAATTTATGAAGTCATACAAGCTAGGTTGGATGGGTTGTTCTACAATTTTCCAAAGTCTATTGGTATGCTTACCTGAAGAGTTTACTCTGATTGTTCTATTCATGCAGGTAGTTTCTGCAAAGGGTGGGCGCTTTCTTGAAGCTCCCGTGTCTGGAAGCAAGAAACCTGCTGAAGATGGTCAATTGATCATTCTTGCTGCTGGTGATAAGGTATGTGATGGTCTGGGTGTTCCCATGATCACATTCTTAAGTGTTACCTTTGTAGGTTACCTTTTACACACACGCACACATGCACACACAAAGGTACACGCACACATTCTTATGCACATGTGCTCGCAGCAATGAAGTTAAGGACTGCCTCACCTTGATTCCTAATCATGTTGGTCTTCAAGTTTTTTCTTTGTTTTAACTTTTAAGGAGGGGTTAGACCAGATGGATTTTATTTTAAATAACTATTAATGATGCAAAAAAAACTATTAATGATGCATGTTTCTGGAATGGTTCGATATTCAGGAATTGTATGAGGAAATCATTCCAGCTTTTGATGTTATGGGAAAGAAGTCATTCTATTTGGGGCAGGTTGGGAATGGGGCCAACATGAAGCTTGTTGTCAACATGATAATGGGCAGGTAAAGGCTGCCCTTGACTGTGCATATATCTTTTCATAATTTGGGGATCATTGGTTCTCCTTCCCTCGACTAATAAGCTAATTTGTCACATGGTCAGTTATGATTGAGCTTGCGTTTGTTCACATGGCATGCTTCCCTAAAATCACCAATAGTTGATTGTTTGCTTGCTTTATTGAAGCATTCCATCTTCTTTGTGGTCGAGTACAATAACAGCCATTGTAAATTGCGTATCTGCTCTTGTTAGTTTTTGTTTATTGTTAAATGTGTTCGTTACTTTTATTTGAATGTTAACTTGAGCTGCAAACACTACATGTTTTTAGTCATTCTTTTCTCCAATTAGTTGGTGTTTCTGAAAGTAAAACTATAATTCTCTCTCCAGTATGATGAATGCATTCTCAGAAGGACTTGTTCTAGCAGATGGAAGTGGACTGAACCAGAATACCCTTCTTGATGTCCTGGTATTGATAATTGAATCCTTTTCTTTCCTATAAGAACCATTTTTATGCAAATATTATCATTGTGTAATTCTGGGAACAATATGCCATGATTCAACAGGGTATGGCATATGGTTCTCTATGGCATCACATTCCATTCTTGATATCTGGCAGTGGAGATTAACTGTGTCTTGGTGACACTGCAGAAGTTAATCCCCACCATTTGTCATCAGGAACTTTCGGTGGATGCCCTTTCCGAGTATAACATAGTCCAGTTCTATGTAGCCATCTATTTGTTGGTCTTATTTTTTGGCAATAAGCATAATGTTAGGACTTGAGATGGAATATATGATAGGCCCTTGGTGGAATGGCAAACCCGATGTTTGCACAAAAGGGACCAGCCATGATCCAAAGAAGTTACCCTACTGCTTTCCCATTGAAGCATCAGCAAAAAGATATGAGATTGGCTATTGCACTCGGGGACCAGGCAAACGTATCCATGCCGATTGCTGCTGCAGCCAATGAGGTAATGGCTGATTCTTCCCACTTCTCTCATTGTGATTGCTATTTCTACCATAGCTACTACTACAAATGTTTTTTTTCTTCTTTTTGATAAATACTTTATGATAATGATATTTTGGGAAAGACTGCAATGAACTCCCTGTGTTCCCTCTATTTTCATTGATCAGTTGGGCTTTGAAAATTATATAGTTCTTGTTAATGAATGCTCGCCATGATACGGTTAATCTCCACCATCTATATTGGAGAATGGGCAGTGGATGCCCCATCTGTGTACCATATGTCATTAGAGCCTTTCCATGCTATACCTTTTCGTGATGAGAATCATAGAATAGTAATACTATGACGATGATGATGATGGATGATGAATGTGTCTTATCTGCCAGACATCAGTGCTTAATGTATTTATGGGATGTAATGCATATTTGCTATCGAGTAGGGGCCAAAGATTTGGTTCTCTTAAATGAGTAGCCAAAAAGTTGCATGGCTATCTTACAGATTATGAGTTGTCTAAGCAAACAAAAATGGTAAAATAGGCACTGCACTTACTTTAGAGCATGTAATTGTGGTCCTGTGGGAGCATATTATATATTTACTCTCACATGCAAGCGCTACTTAGGGGGACTTTTCAGTCTGAAATTTTGCGATCCACCTTAGAATCGCCATATGATTATTTTCAAAAGAAAAACTTATATTGCGAGTTCTTAATTAGTTCGCTTTCACCGTCCAAAAATTAGATGGTCTCTACTTGGTATTAGGATGTTATTATTTTCAAGCACATACATAGTAAATTTGAATTAAAATTTGAGAGTGCAAGAATACTTCTAAATTGGGTTTTACCTGGGGGAGTGATTGGGGGAAATGCTCGCATGGGAGCATAAAATCTTTGACATGTCTGTATTTCTATTGGGGGGTGTTTCTTAACATTGTGATTTTCTTAAAAAAAGTAAAAAAGGTCTGACATTGTGATTTTCTTTAAAAAAAGTGAAAAAGGGGGACCTTTTGGTCTCTCCCCGCACATACAATTTGTGATTGGAGACCCATAGTGATCTAATTTTGATGAGACGGTTGAGGATAAGATGAGAGCAATGTCCACGGGAAGACACCACCTATGTTTATCATGCTATATTTTATATGTGATTTGTTGTATGCTAACTATTTGCCATCCAATCAACATGGGATAACTTGAATCATATCTATGAGGAGACACATAGATAACTCACCCTTCAAAATAATAATGTATATTAATAGTGGATGTTGATAGTGTTTGTTATTGGAGGGTGTAACCGTATGCACATATCCCAAAGCCAGTTGCCGTTTTTGAAATTATGGCCCCCATAGGACATCTTAAATTAGGGTGCGGTTTGTATGAGGTGTCTACCTTATATTAATAAGGCACACCCCTAAGTTTTGCCAGAAGATATAGTTCTGGTGTTGAAAACCTTATGCGGGCTCTAAAATCCGAGTTCAGCTCTAATTGTGAAATTTAAATTAGAAAAATGGAGCAGACCAAATATTCCTATAAACACCTGAAAAACTTGAATGTAGACTGCTCGGATAACTTGTTACGATGTGCACTACTTTTAGGCTTGAACTTTTTTTTTTATTTTTATATCTATACATTTCAAGGTCTAGATGATCAATTAGAAGGTTTTCGATCTTCAGAATACCCTTTTCTAAGGTATTTTTGCGGTGTATCTTGCTTCTGCAGTATAAGGTTGCAACCCTACATAAACTTTTTCCCTTAAATTAAGCCTTAACTGGTCATTTCAAGAGAATACCAGGGCTTTTTTCTTGCCTCTCATCTGCCAGTCAATGAAAATAAATCAGTGGCATGTATCATAATGACACCTTTGGATAAGATCTTGTAAAGGAATTGGGTATTTTGGTAATTTTGTTTAAACAATCCTTCTACTGAGGTTTTAGCTGACTGGCCTTTGTGCTCTGTGAAATAGGCTTTCAAGAAGGCCAAGGGCATGGGTCTTGGAGACCATGATTTTTCAGCTGTTCATGAAGTGGTAAAGATCCCAGAAAATGCAAGTGGAAAGTGATATATTGAATCCACTCATGGAAGTGGGTTATGTCTTTCTTTGTTTTTTATTTTCTCTTCCTTTAATGCTTCTCTTCTGGAGGTATGGTGTTGCTTGTTTGGCAAACAATATTTTGTTGAAACTAATTGTGGGTGAGAGAGAGAGAGAGAGTGTGAGACTCAAGCATCACATGGGCAATTGAACATTTTCCAACTCTCGTCTTCATAATGCTAAATTGACTATAATTATGAATAATGATAACTTCGGACCTTGTGACAAGTGATGGAAATTTGGCCTTTGGGCTGGTATGAGGGCCGGGGTTAAAAATAGTTCCGGGCCAGGCTCGGGCCACTTATCATAAATTCGAATCCAAATTTTCAGGCTGGGGCAGGACCATGCCGACCTTGCACATTTTTGGTCCAATCCCGGGCCAGGCCCATTACCTGCCATTGACAAGAGGGGAGGGGTCGCCCACAGAGAGAGAGTGTGTTTTACATGATCGTCCATTCATATTTTCTCCTGGCTGCAATAACTCCATGAAAAGATTCTAAGTTTGTAGGCCAAAACCCATACTGATAAATATTTTTTAGTCCCAAAATGGGATTTATTTGCCCATTCCTCAAATTATATGCATAGGGTCGGTCCAATTCATAGATAAATGTGTCACCAAACAAAATGAATGGTTGTTTAGGCCAATCCAAGAAGTAACCTCTGTGTTATTCGTCCAAGAACTCGTATGTTGCACCGAGATCAAAATTTTGAGCCTCACCAAGACTTGGATTTTGCAGTCTTCGTACGCCAAGGAGAAACGATCATCCCACCTCACAATGCTGAAGTAACAATCACTATATGCCTCCCGAGGCCATGGCCGGACCGAATTGATCTCGCCTTCCTCTCTTTTCAAGTTAAAAACCATCAGATGAGTCCGATTCATGTAGTACCAAGCGTGGCCAATACACACGATACCGTAAGTTCTTGAGAATAGAATGCTGAGCATCTGCACCTTTCTTGATCTTCTCCATTGCCCGGTCCATGACTTGAATACTTAGGAAACGAAGGCAATCAATTCTATGACGGAAATGTACTTTAGCAAAGATCTTAAAATTGTAGTCCTTGGGATCAAAATAGAAGCCCTTATCTTCAGATTCTCGATGAATGGGCCACTCAGACAAGCGGCCTCCCTGATTAGGAACATTGAATATATTGGAAGGTGACTGTATTGGCCGGGATGGTCGAGAAGGCGTAAATCATCCTCTGACCAAGAGTAAATTCTACTGTCAGGTATCATGCAACACAAAATGCCATGGCTGCAAACCATGTAACAAACCTCAGTGAACTGTAAGAGAAACTTGAAATTATGGTGGAGCACAACACCATCGTCATGAAATGTTTGGTCACGATGACGATGCGGACCTTCGTGGAGAGCAGTGGGATGGGAGGAAGGGAAGCTGTAATGGACTCGAGCAAATGAATAAGAAGAGAGTACAGAATTCCAGTTTTTAGACGGTCTTGAACTTGCAGATGAATTGTGCAGTCAACTTGGAGAGGATTTCAATGGCTCTCTCTTTCTCCTTTGCCTCTGATATCTCCTCTTTCAAGTTTCCACCAATAATGTCAAGCTTAGAGAGGAAAATAAAACGAAAAGAAAAGGAAAGGAATATAATCCAAATCACTTGCTATATACACATGATATTCCCCTGTTGTTGATGGAAAATAAAGATTTATCAATGAATTTTTGTGTGATTTCAATAAATAAATAAGTAAATAACCGATTTGACTACGCTTAGCAATGAATCAGGTCAACCTGGACCTAGACCCAACTCAGGTGTAGGATTTTGGACGTGGATTTGATCCATCATGTCCAAAACTTGGACCCAGACCCAACCCAATTGGGATTTGGGTTCAAAAAATAAATAAAATA